CTACAGTTTCTAGAATTTTTGACTGTCCGTCTGTCTGTCTATTACCGCATCACAGAAAAACCACTGGAGGGATTTTGATGAAATTTGGTATGGTCATAGGTGGTTATCCGGGTCAACATATAGAATACTTTTTACCGCGGGAAAATATCTACCACTCTATAAATACAATGTAAGAGTATACTAATATGTAAAACCTAAGAATTTGGTTTTTGGTCATCTGAACGCGGGCGGAGCCGCGGGCAATGCTAGTTATTTATATAATTTCGTCGTTATAAAATCATGCCAAGAAAAAAATGACCTCGGCCTTGATACTTAATAATACAATCACTTAACAATAAGAATTCAGATAAATTTACACGTATTTGTATTGTTGTACAAACTTAATACTATAAAGATTCATTCGATTGAAGTCAAAACTTTTATTAGGTATATATATATATATATAATATCAATTGCTTTATTTATTTACTTATTAATGCATGTAGTTTTATTTTAAAGCATTCACAATTCACAAACTATCTAACTTATCTCTATATTATTTAAATAAAATAAAGGGACTATAATATCAATTGATCGCTTTCATTATATGTTCATAAAATATCGATTTGTATTTTATATGTGGAACATTCTAAGCCTATTATATATATCTATATATATAAAACAAAGTCGGGTTCGTTACAACACTTATAAATAGAGAACGGCTGGACCGATTTTGATGATATTTGATTTATTAGATTTATCTCCATCCCGAATAGCAGAATAACTATTAAAACGTCAGAAAAATTTAAGTTTTTTTTTTATTTACATGGCTATCGTTGGATAATAACTATTTATATCTATTTAAAACTCACCTAGGGACAAACCTGAGCGAAGCGAGGGTGAGCCGCTAGTAATATATAAAAACATAATATGTGGTATTTTTAAATAACGCATTCGTCAAATCAAGAAATGATCGGCGTGATTAAAATTTAATCCACACTAAGTACTAATATTATTGTGAAAGTAACTTATTTATATTTTACTCTACGTCCAATGTAGGTATTTGCATGTTTGTTACTTTTTCACACTTTTAAGCTGCTGAATCGATATTGATGAAATTAGACAATGACATAGATTGCATGATAGACAGATAAGACTACACTTTACACCCGTCTTACTTTAATAAACGTCTGGTCACAGGTGATGTTAGGAGCCGAAGTCAAAAACGACTAGTTCAGTATAAAACAAGAACCTCAAGTTAACTTTAATAATATATTATTATTTATTTTGCCGAAATAAGACAAAAGACACGGTTTTAGATACAACAAACGTATGATTAATGACATATGCTGATGTATATATGAAAATGATAGATATTTACTTATTTTAAATTTATTTATGGTACTTTGATGTTACAAAACATTCTTCTAAAATAAATATATTTTTGAGGATAGACAACATAACCACATACTTTTAAAGGGCGAGATTTTTTTGTCATCTTCTTAGCATAACATCAAACATGTCATCCACAATAACGAATTTTACGACAATATCATAAATACTAACGAGATTGGTAATCCTTTAATTAACTCGCGATATTTATTCAACTTAATCCTATCCATTAGTTTTTATGACACGTGAAAAATTGGCAGTAAATTAAACAAGTTTTAGGATGTTTGTCCTAAAAAAAATTTTGCATTTTCAACAACTATATAAAAATAACATATGGATATACCATACAGGCATATTATGCAAATATATATAGGTATAGTTAAAGTAATATTATGTATGTAAATAATTTAAATATTTTTTAAATAAATTATTGCATTACAAATTTAATAAATGACCGAATAACAACTTTATATGATAATCCATTAGGATATTTATATTCGTAATTTCATTAGCATGTTAAATTTTTATTTTATACTAGCCTATGTGCGTTGACTGCTGGTGCTGGTGACAGTCTATCCGTATTCTTAATTTCATCTAAATCCGCCCAGTCGTTTCAGCTGATGGCATTACAAAAATGTATTGACGACACGTTTGGCTCAGTTTGTACTGACCCTACTTGCTCTGTCAACGGTCGCGAGTTCGAGTCCCGCTGGGGGCATTCATTTGTGCGATGACCATGAATGTTTGTACTCTAATCATGGGTGTTTATATTTATAATATGTATATATTTTAAGTTATATATGTGTAGTGTATCAACTATCTGGTATCCATAACATAAGCCTCGTAGCTTACCATGGAAGTAGATGATGCTGTATGTTAATGTCCCAATATATACATATAACGTTCGTTTGCTTCGCTCGGGTTCGTCCCTAAGTTGATCCCCCTTACACCACCTTTCATCCCCATTTTGACCCCCTCAAGGGATGATTTCCGGGATATAAAGTATCCTATGTCCTTCCCAGGGTCTCAAACTATCACCTTACGAAATTTCATCTAAATCGGTTTAGTAGATCCAGAGATTACTCCCTACAACGTCACAAACTGACAAACTTGACCTCTTTATAACATGAGTATAAATACATACCTATACGTGATACAGATACAATTTCTTATTTTTATAATATTAGTCTGACTAATTTGTTCTTTTATGTTTTAATAACCTGATTCCATTCTGAACTTTACCTAAATCCGTTACAATGTAAAGAAGTAACAAACACTATCTCAATATGATAAACTTAGTAGGTACATGTACAACGTGATTAACTAAAAATATAAAGAAACTCGGTACCTACCTATTATTAAAAAAAAAATACATCGAGACTCCACAGAAGGATGAAGAGTGGAGTGAAGTGTAGTTGTTTTTTGTATTTCCTATAGATTCTAGTAATTATTGTTATTTTTTCCGTATATGATATTCAATAAATTGTTATATTCAAAATGCGTAAAAACACGGAAAAAACTATTTAAGAATGACAAATCTAAACATATAATAAAATTCTAACTAAGGCGAATCTGTCTTTTAAATATTTTTTGGAAAAGCGTATTGAAATAGACATTATTGTCGATACAGAGGCCGAATGTATAGTTTTTAGAATTTTTGTCTGTCTGTCTGTCTGTTACCGCATCTCAGAAAAACTACTGGAGGCATTTTGATGAAATTTGGTATGGTCTTAGGTGGTTATCCGGGTCAACATATAGGATACTTTTTACCGCGGGAAAATGTCATATTTCTGAGAAAATACAAAACTGCAATGTAAGAGTATATTAATATGTAAAACCTAAGAATTTAGTTTTTGTTCATCTGAACGCGGGCGGAGCCGCGGGCAATGCTAGTAAGAAATATGTTGGCAGCTAAATCTACAAGAGCTCATGCCAAATAACTCTACTTAAAAATGATATACATATTATGTCGTTGTAATCTAAGCAGTCACATAAACGATGATAAAAATTTTCGTACACAGAACAACGGGCTATAGAAGATTTGTATATATTTAGTTTGGTTGTTTGTTTGGTTCAAAATTTTTATTAATATCAGTTTTATTTATTTCTAAAATATATATTTTTGATTTAATCTAGTCTTATTATAAAAGAACCGACTGATTGACTGACAACTTGTATGTAAAGCAAAACTGGTAACATTAGGCTTTGAAATCTGAAGAAATTATACTTCAGTACTTCAGTACACTAGGAATTCAACTTAATGCAATAATAAGCGCGATACATTAATACATACATATATATATATATATATATATATATATATATATATATATATATATATATATATATATATATATATTACACAGAATATGAATGCGTGAACAAGGAGTACCAATTAAAAAAAAACAAACAATTTTCGAAACCGAGACCGGTCACTAGTCTTAACTAGCAAGCCATACTTATATAGAGTAAAAGCTATTAATAACAGAAACAATACATATTAATTATTATCAATAAGTCAATGGTTAAATGTGCTTTATGGGACTTCTACATTTCCCATTTGAATATACTGTTTGAAGTAGACTATTAAGATAGCAAGTGAACTCAACACTTATCGCAAACAAAAATGTCGATTAACGACAAAATTATTAGGATGTAGAATCACTTAGTTGTTTACTTGATTGTCTTATCACCAAGATTCACTTTAAGAGCTTATACCACATCCGGCAGCGTGCAAGAGTATGAATGATGTTTTTTTTTTTAATTTATTCGCAAACACGTGCAGTAAACTAACATAAATTTGCAATTCCACTACAATAATTCATGTTATTCAATCATGTGCATTAATAATTTCTCAATTAATCTATACGTATAATAAAATTGTAACTAAGCCGATTCAGTACATTAGATTTTTTTTTGGAAAATCTTATTGAAATAAACATTATTATCGATACAGAGGCCGAATCTATAGTTTTTAGAATTTTTGTCCGGACGTCTGTTACCGCATCACAGATAAACCACTGAAGGGATTTTGATGAAATTTTGTATGGTGATAGCTGGTTATTTGGGTCAACATATAGGATACTTTTTACCGCGGGAAAATATCTCATTTTTGAGAAAATATACAAAAAACTGCAATGTAAGAGTATACTAATATCACAGATCATACAATACTATACTAGCACTATATGTATACCGTATAATGTAATGTAGAGTATACTAATATGTAAAACCTAAGAATTTGATTTTTGGTCTTCTGAACGCGGGCGGAGTCGCGGGCAATGCTAGTTATTTAATAAAGTTTTGTAAATCAAATTCAAATACAAAATTCTGTATTCAATATTGATATTTCAGAAAAACGCTTGACGTACACTTACGTAAAAAATATCTCAGTTCTGAGAAGAACTGCCAAAGTTTCTTTTGTATCCTCCATTAAAAGAGCCTGGAGACGATACATTATTCCCAAAGTATGCTTTCTTCGAAAATATCATCCGTAATAACTTTTACGTATACGTGCACAAATACTTTGGCATTTATCTCTCAATCAAAGTATCGTCAATTGTCAAAAATCGAAGTGTTTTTTTTAATTATTCTTAATAAAACACACTTTTAAGTCTAAGTTAACTTACATTCCAAGCCCATCTTATTCGTCAGCTGATCGAAGCCTAGTACAATGCCATCTGGTCTCCGACAGTTTTGCAGGAGGTTGATGAAGTCGTCGCAGATGTTGTTCAGTTCGGGTATAAAGCCGTAGATTGTGTGAGGACTGGTCAGGTCAGATGTGAGGTGGCGCCGAAGGTGGTGCCACTTGTCTCCCTGTCTGCAAAACCATATTATTAAAGCTTATTGTTCAATTCAATTCTTTATCATGCGGCTTTTAGGCCAGTTAGGAATGTTTATTGTTAACTTCTTTAAGTTCGTTACAACTACAGTACGTGTATATCTGAAAAGCCTCTTAAAAGTCTCTTATTAATTATTATATTAATAAATTAATTAATTAATCAACTGGTTCAGTGGTGTAGTGGCTAGCATGTACGGCTGCACATCCGGAGGTCCTGGGTTCGAGTCCCGGGTCGAGACAAGTTTAGTTATTGAGTCTTTCTGTATATTAAGCCTCAGTAACAGCCCGGAGTTGGGAAGTTGGCGGTGTTTCACCCCTCGGAGAGCACGTAAAGCCGTCGGTCCTGCGCCTTAACTCTCACTGGTCGTGTTGAGCAGTCGTCCCACCGGAGTATGAGAGCGACAGGAATAGAGGGTGCAATTGTGTCTGCGCATACACTTGTGCACTATAATATCTCATGCGCAGTTGGCTAGTCTCAATGAGATTGGCCGCCGTGGTCGGAATCGGTCAGGAGAACATCATCATTATATTATTTCTTGATCAAGTTATGTTTTTTAAGTATTATATGAAGGTAATATAAAAGATGAAAACAGAGATATTTATAATCTCAAATAATATTATTTTATGACTTGTATCTAAAAAGCTACTAGAGAAAAGAAATGCCGGCATTTGTTGACATTTCCTTCAGCCGACTGACACATAAATTATTTATCGAAACAAATAAACATTATTGAACTTAAGCCTTTATTAAAAAACAACAGTAATAAATGTCTTTATAGACTATTAAAGATAATTTTGCATAAAAACAATAATCATCACTAAATATTTTTAAACATCGTCTAATTATTACATATCTTGTTATTTATTCAGTATATATATTATAAGTATGTATTTATGTATATATATATATATATATATATATTTATTTATATTTGTAAACGTAGTTCATCATGCCTGTATTTAGTGTTAATTGTACCGGCCCGTCTACAATTCCACTAATCCTTTCACCAAAGGTTTGTCTGTAAGAGATTGCTATAAGACCGCCTTTGCATGCCTCTTTGTTATTTTTTTTTTCATTTCAGTACTGTTCTTTTGTGTGTGCAATAAGGTTTATCTATCTATCATTTCGTGATAAAACAGGAAGTATATTTTATGAAAATAAACTGTTGGGTTGATACAGCGCCCGCGCCGTGAGTCTCCACGTTGTACATACCATATACGTGACCAGAAAGTGAAGTTGTAACCGAAATATAAGAATATGCCATTTTATTACTGCTAACAATGAGTACTTACATGATAATTTAGAATAATCTAACTCATTTACGTGGTTCCACTTACACCCATAAAATATTTTGAGAAAATGTATGGGTTATTGCCCTTTAAATGATCATTTTATGTCATATTTTATCAAAATGATTTTAAACTGTCAAAAATTACAGCTCTAATATGGCCAACATATAATAGGTAATATTTGTTTGAACATCAAAAAATATTTTTAAAATTGTACTGACGTGAATAACATGTTTTTATAAACACTTTTCTTATATTAGAACTATGAAGTTGATCAACAAAATCACTAATTAGAATCTTGTTATTCTAAAATAATAAAGATGCACGTTTATGGCTTGAATAAATATGTAAAGTTTATTACTATTAATTTGTTGACTCTTCTCTGCGCATGAGTTTCTATTTGACTTGAAAATATACATATACCTGTATGTATATTTACGGTTCTTACTTTTCGTGTGGAGTTATATAAAATGTGTGATATAAAATAATTCTAAAAATATTTTTAGAATTATTTTATATCACACATTTTCAAAATATTCATTCAGTGTAATTGAGATAATCTAAAAGTTTATTGATTTTTATTTAACAGTATATTTTAATTAATTTTACAACAATAAACCTTACAAAATAAATATAACTCCACGTATACGTAACGTATTTGAAAGCTCATTTCTCATATTTTTAATAATTATTGTTAAATTTTTTGGTCCTCTTGTTGAACACTAATATTTAATCATTAATTCAATTATACAAGCCACAAGTAAAAGTAGTATGAAACAAAAAACATAATGACGCGTGAGCCCACTGCACCCACATGTTAATTTATTTTTTGCTACTTTTTAGAGTCAGCTCTGGTCCTCCTTTCACCTATCGCGAAACTATCGGGAGTAACGTCTAATTAGATTCATAAACATCACACTTTTTATTTTAAACTACATATTAGACGATTTACAAAACAGCTTTTCGTTAAGATATTTTCGCTTGGTGTTATTAAAAACCACCGTACAATCTGCATCCTTGAGAACAATTAATTAATAGAATTTAAAAACAAATTAAATGAAAACTAAAATAAATTTATTAAAATTAAAGATATTTTTGACGCTACAAGTGTACATATAATCTGTTTGAATTTGAAATATTCAGTAAAGGATTTAAACTTACTCGTTAACTAGTCCGGTAGAGGCGTAGCGGTCTGGTCTGCTTCGTCTGTATACTTGGACGATCTCCGTGGGGGGTCTATATGGTCTCTTTGCGGGGGCCCTAAGCACTGCCTCTAGAGCCGCCCTCTCTGCGATGGACACCACCATGGCACCTCCTGGCGTGATCTCCGCAAACACCGGCCCGTATCGCCTGAACATGTCTGCGTGCAAATATCTCATTGTGACGGCGAGGGAGTAACATATTACCCCCCGGATTAATTATTATAAAAAGTATTATAGTCTGTTTAATGTTATTATTTATTACTTTTTATTTTAGTTATATTATTATATGTACTATAGTTAATGTTATTGTGCGTATTACAAAATAATAAACTACAGAGTTTAAAATAGAATATCATTTTTTAATAATGATACAAAAAAAAACAACAATTACCAGTAATAAAAATTTGCATTTAAGAAATCCTTTAAAAATATCTTTAATAATTATTATAATAATATATTATTATTATTATATATATATTTAATAACATATATATTTTTAAATTTAAAAAGATATCATACATTAAATAAATTTCTTATTTAATTATATTTCAAGATAAAAAATAATTGATAACAAGATTTTACCTTCATACGCTTCATGTAGCTTATTCATCTTATATCTGCTCCAGAACATCCATCTCGTACCTAGCAAAGGCAGAGCCGGTGGTCCAGGCAGCCTCACTGGCCTTTTCCCGTCCATAGGTCGTGTGAGTAACATTGTCACAGCCATGACCAGAGCGACTAGAGCCAAAACCAACGTCGGCACACCCGACCAATCCAAGAGAGGTGGTGATGTACTCTGAAATTAAAAACATCGTATTAATTTTCTAAACAAAAAAAAACAATTTTGTACTTTTGTTTGTTTGTTACTTTAGTAAATTGTCATCAAAAAATTTAAGAAATACATATTGTTTTGAGTTTCATTATCATAACTTGATTTTATACTAATTCATTATATTTACAACATACGCAATTTTACGTTACATTAAAATATTATAAAATGAATAAGTTATTTACATTATTTATGGATCTGCTTCAATGGCGAATTTTGTAACAATAGGTGTACTCGTATTACCACAACGTAACCTTGCTCTTACATGACCTACTTGTACTATGACTACTTTACATTTTATATATCAGCAAATACTAAACAAATCTATTAGCAATAGTTCATAATACATAATATTATATACATTTATATTTCATTAAGAGTAACGTGAATTTTTTAAATTTTTATTTTAATAGTTAGAACTGAAATGACTGCCAAACAATTACCGTGTGAACTACGAGTACACACACACACACACACACACACACACACACACACACACACACACACACACACACACATATATACATATATAGATATATATATATATAATTATATAATTTATAATTGGTATTACGCACACTTGGGAGGAAAAATGAATAAATAGTAAAATTCTGTTAGAGATCAGCAACTTAAGCAAAGTACGTTGTAGCAGAATTTACGCGTCATTACGTACGTACGTACGTCGACGCATTCGATCGAATAGTATCTAACGTGAGACACGACAGTCGACAGGTGAAATCAGTCATTATCTTTATGAATGAAACGAAGGCAAGTTCAAGTAGTTTTTATTGCTACATCGCATGCGAACGCGTTGGGTTAACATTGTTTGCTATCGCGGTCGTCGACCTGCTTGTGATGTGTTGACGCAGCGATCTTGACATTGGGTTTGCGTAACTGACGCTTACGTAACGTAACGACTAACGTTTAGCGTAGCCTGAAGGCAGCGCTGTACATTTTTGCTAACTGTATCGATGTGGTCTAGCTTTCCTTCATATTTTATATATATCTCTCTCGTATTTACACCTATGAGTATTGTAGAATGTAATTTTTTGAATTCTTCATCTCAAACATCAAATTGGCATTCTTCATCATTAATAGAGCTTTACTCTTGGCGGTATCTTTATTTATGTCATTAGCGACACTTAAGATAATAAAATTTATTGTTATGAATAAAAAAGTATAAAAATCTATTGTTAGGTCTAAGGAATGCAGATAAAAAAATATACCTACAACAGTGTTGATTTATTATATTTGTATATATACTTAATAAAATTTCAATCATGTTAAACATAATATATAAAAACTTAATTTGATGAATGAATATATTTACTTTTACAGAAGGTGTGGCACGCGACGTACATGTAACAACTAACAATTATATGACTGAGATCGCCGTAGGTACCGTTTTTATTGTTACGGGACCTCTCATTTTGCAGTCAGTTATTCAGGACAAATTGGTGTTAAAGGAATTCGACGTTAAATTGGCCGTTATATGTCGATGACTTTAAAACTTGTTTTGCATAATATCGTGTTTATCTGAGCTTTGTAGTCTATTATGAGGATTTCACCAAATAATTTATCTATTTAAATTATATTTTAAGTTCAATACTCTATAAACGATATTAATATTAATGATATAAGATCGTAAATTCCAATTTATCGAAATAAACATTTTATTAGGAAGTTTTTTTTAAATAAATGAACCACATAAGCAGTACCTGAAATTAAATAATATTTTATTGCAGTGTGATTGATTTTATGACTAGATTATATATATCAAAAATTATTAGATTACTTTAAAACTATTTAAATATTCTATACGAACTTGTTTATTGTAACGTACGCACCTAAGTCGTAGCTACGAAATAACAAACCTTCCTTTCTACTTTATATGTTTCAAATATCTCTCTTTAGTAAAAATAAATATAAAAAAATTTTATTTGAGCACTTTGGAAAATTCTAAAGACAAACAGTAGACATTTTCCTAAATAAAAGTAGTTTAATAAGCTGCCTAGTTGGAGCGTAAATAAATAAATGTAATAGAATCATATCGAAAGCATACTTGTTAATATATTTTTATAAGCAAAGATATTTGTTCACATTATTTGTTTAAAAAATATCAAACTTTTGATTCAGTCTTCTTTGCAAAGCCTATTATTACGAATCGAAAACTTTAATTTCTTTTTAATTAATACAAGATTTATTTTTCGAAGTATATATTCTTACCTTTCTTTCAGATACGTCGATAATGGCTTATACTATTCGGTTCATACTTAAGCTTCATTTAATCGTGGAAAAAGACCAAAAAGAAACCATGTAGAATAAAAGTTCATAACTAACTATATATATATATACTATCGATATCGACTAGGTATTTTATATTTAAATACAGTCGCGTATGTATGAATCTGATTGGCAACGTAGTAGATTCAGTTCCCAAATGATGTAAATAAATATGACATTAGGCACCGCTATATACAAGAGCAGCACCGCATATCTTGTCTTTAATATCGCAAAGGAAAGACCATGAAGTTGAAATATTATGTATATATGTATATATAACATTTTATTATTGTAATAAATTATCAATATTTAAATAAGACTATCTGTTTATGAAGCGCCAGTGATACCTATATTTAACATTCGTAAGTAGACACTTTATTACATATCTTTTATTAAACTCAAGCCAACCAACGCGATAAACGTTTTGTACAATTAATCCTCTATAAGTAATTAATATGTGTATTTGTACGGGTCAGGGATAGAGAGTGATAAGTGAGGTTATTTTTATAATTATTATGAGTTTTGTAAGTTTCTTCTTTAGAAATCTTTTACCTACTAAAACGATTTCAGGATTCAACTATATTAACAATTTATATTATAAAATAAAAGTATAAAAATTGTATCCGATCGGGATTCGAACCCGGACACCTGCGATTGTCAATCTAGCGCCTTAGCCGCTTGACCACGATGCTTATGCCCGAGCTTGCGACTTATATTTTATATTAGCTTTTCTATATTAGCGACCATATTTTGCGTGGAATAATGCGAAAGAAAACCGCATGAAAACTCGAAAAAACGCGTTTTCCCAGACAAGACTAATCTATAAATATAAAAAAATTGTAACTAAGCCGAATCTGTACATTAAATATTTTTTGGAAAATCTTATTGAAATAGACATTATTATCGATACAGAGGCCGAATCTATAGTTTTTAGAATTTTTATCTGTCTGTCTGTCTGTCTGTTTCCGCATCATGGAAAAACCACTGGACGGATTTTGACGAAATTTGTTATGATGATAGCTGGTTATCCGGGTCAACATATAGGATACTTTTTATTGCGGGAAAATATCTCATTTCTGAAAAATCTATACTAAACCTTAAAACGTAAGTAAGGACGAACCCGAGCGGAACGAGTGTGAGTCGCTAGTACATAAATAATAAATAAATGTAATAATCTCGACAAATGTTTTTTATACTTATGTCAAACAAAAGCCTACACACAAAGCGTCGTATCAGTAAAGTTTGTGAAAAGCGCTATTTAAGTACCTAACCTACACAAATGGTACCGGTCAAACCTGTCCCAAGACAAATAAGATTTTCTAATACCAAACTAGTTCATCCGAACAGAATTAAGATCGAAAAGGTTAGCCTAGGCCGTATTATATGATCACATTTGAATGTATCTATACAAAACCTGCAAGCAATACTTGCGAGTAGTTTTAAATTTATATACAATGGTGAACTCAAACGTGCGAATATTTTAAGTCCCTGTACAATATTATTATAAGTTTACAAAATATTATAAAAAAAAATATTAAAAAAAAACACAATTACTGGTATAATTATTGAATTTGCAAAGCTCATTTATTTTAAAATCACAGAACGAACAAACGAGAGAAAATTGTTTAAAATTCATTATAAAACTGCCAACTCAGTTGAATAAACTTATAATTCGATGTACATATAATGAAAAGTAAATTTACCAAATAAAACAGAGATAATTTGAATGTCTCTTACAAAACGATTTCAATAGTTCAAACCCACGTAGTCTCTAATCTTTAGTCTGCTGATTGAACTGAATTGCCTGTCAGCATGATGCCTAAATTCAATAGCGTATTTACTTATACTGATAATAATTTAGAAATAACATAATTTATATATATATATATATATATATATATATATATATATATATATATATATATATATATATATTATTTACAATTAAATTTGTATGAAATAAATAGTTTTCAACATTTACAATTTATATGTATAAACGAAAAGCGCTATCTACTGTTATACAATTATTGTCGATCTGTTTTATCACGCATATTATTCAGGAACGAGTGAATGGATTTGTATGGACTATGGAACTTTATATTTAGTCCGTATGTGTATTGGTCCCGAAATCTACAGAACCTACTACGAACTACGTTGCCTAATTTGATTCTTGCGTGGTTTTATATGTTATGTATATAAAGTCGCCGTTGTAGAATAAACACGTGCGATGCCGCAGGCAGGTGGTGGTTTTAGATAACTCAAGGTGGTCCGATATAAATAAAAAAATATATAAAATTTTTATTCAAAAATATAGGTCAAGCTGTATATTTAAAAACTAAATGGTACATTCACGCGATTTAGAATTCAGTATAGTATTCCTATTATTCTTATGTTATAAATTAATGTTTTACATGTACTGCGTTCTGTATCCATGATATCGCTAACATTTAAGTCAACATTTAAATCGATGTGCCTAGACTCCGTTGCAGTCTGTAGCCGGAGAAACGCAGAACCTATGTTTATCTAATGTGCAGTTTGTAGTCTATAATGCAGCCCTCTCGTCATTTATTATTGGATCTGTAATAAGAGACAAATCTAGGACCGGCTTAGAAATGTACACTTTTCTAATTATTACTCTGACATTCTTTATGAAATCTAAAATTGAATCCTTTCATATTTTCTGC